GGTGTCACTCTGACTGGATGGTGGCCCCATCTTCCCAGAGGGAGATGGATGAAGGGAAGAGGTGAAGACACTTGGAATACACCTGGAATGAGACATTAGAGGGAGGACATTTGCAGCTACAGCAATATGGGAGCTGCAGGTCACTGGACATGTGATGGGACTCACCTTTATGTGAACCCATTGTCCCTACTCTTTCCCTCCTTACCCTGCTTGTTCTAAGGCCTGGAGGAGGAAGTAGCATCTAAGTTTTGGAGTCTCTGGCCCCTGCCACTGGCCCATCCTCATTCCCTCCCATCTGGGAACAATAACAGATGTTAAAAGACTGAGTAGAGCCATGACTGGAGCCAGGGTTAGGATGAAGAATCTGATGTGGACCATGGATGAGTGTAAGGTCACAGTGAGGGTTCAGTGCCTGACTGTAGTTGGAGTTCAGGCAATGCCTGACATTAAACTCAGTCTAGAACTTGGATCTGAGTTCAGTCTGAGGTCAAAAGCAGAGTGCACTATCAGTGTGTGATCCAGGCTAAGTAATCAGAATGTAACCAGAATTCTGGTTCAGCCTGGAGCCAAGGCCCTGGCTCAGTCTATGACTGAGATGAGGGCTCAGTCTGCTGCTGGATAAAAAGCTAAAGCCCAGCCCACTTTTCCCTCCCCACAGGCCCCTTGCATTGGGCTCAGATCCAGCTCCTCACCAACAGGTGATAACATAGAGACCCTCGTTGTACATCCTCCTCAGATGGGGCAGGCAGGCTAACTGCCTATTGACATTTAACTGAAGGAACAGAGTCAACAGTAGGCTTCAGTCTCTACCTCTTGAAGCACACCCCAAGAGGTACCCTCCTCCAGCAGTCAATCTGGCAGCTGTGAGACCTCACATGTCACCTCTGTGAAACTCTGTTCATCTATAAAATGGATAAAAGGAAAAGACCTACTCCACAGGGCTGTTGGGAGGATCCAAGGAGATAGTTTATTCAGAGCACAGAGTATATTCAGAGCCCAACCATCTGGGTTCATGGCCTTTCATAGAAGAGCCACTTCCAGGGCCTTGACACCTTCATTGCCCCATTTCTATTGCACCAGCAGTTCCAGCATCTCATTCAATAATTCAGTCCTGTTCCAGAGCACAAACTGCATGCAAGGCTCCAGCTGGGTCCTGGGTATAGTGAGATGAGAAAAGGACAAAAGCCTTGAACATAGTCCCTCGTGATGAGAGATTCCTCCTCCCAGGTCCAGTCATGGCAGAACTGTCACCCTCTGGGGCAGCACCCTGATGGCCTGTCTCTGGGAGGATTTGACTATCACAGAGCTCAGTTCACAGACATGCACTGCACAGGACTCAGGTCTGTCCTTAACCTTGACCTTGACCTTCAGTGGATGGACTGATTGCTCCTCTGCCTGCCTGTCTTTCAGGATAAGCTCCTTATGGAGTGGACCACACCTGTCTTCACCAATCAACACTGCAGAGCTTAGAGCAGTGCTTGCCTAGCACATAACAGAAGCTCAATATATTATATTCAATAAAAGAATGAACCAAGTAAATGCACAATAAAATGTATGATGACAACCTGTGGCAAGTACTCAGAATAGCAAGAGTAGACCCTTATGGGAGATAATAGAGGATCCTGGAAATAGTTCTGAAGGATGCAGAGGTATACTCAGAGGGAGAAGGAAGGTGTTCTAGGACACTAGTGCAGCCTGGATAAGGTCCTGTGGAAGGAATGAGCCAGTGTGTAGGAAGCAAGGTGAGGATAGTCAAATAAAGCAGAAGGTACCTTGGGATTTAAAATAGAACAGCCAGGAGAGGAATTGCAGCAGCAGAGTATTATCTGACTGAGATAAAGTTCTTCTATACCTATTTTCTCCAGTGTATTTATTGTGAAAGGATGCACTATGGCTTATGTCTCCCCAAAGCCTCATGCATAGTAGGTGGGGCTTTTCAGATATGGCTGGCTCTGGAGTGTGTGATTAAGGGTATGTGATTATTAAATTAGTCCACTGATCAGTTTGACGTAGTTCTTAGTGTGAGTGTTACCTGCCTTAAGGGTGGGTAGACTAGATAGAATATGAAGAAACAGAAAAAGCTGCTATTGGCACTTGTTATTGCTGCTGCCTGTCCTCTCCTCTGTAGTGCCCCTCTGCCATGCCACCCTACTGTGAAGCCAGCTAATTATGGACTGAAACCTCTACAAACTGTGAGTTGAAATAAACTGTTTCTCCCCTTACTTTGGGTATTGGATATTTTGCCTCAGCAACCAGAAAATTAACTAAGACAGAATTTGGTACCAGAGAAGTAGGGTCATTGCTGTGACTATACCTAAACATTGAGAATGGCTTGTATGAAGAGTTTGGAATTGTTCAGAGATGCTGGATGAAAAAGCAGTCCTGCAATGCTTTAAACTGTACTTTATGAGAAATTCTGGTAAGAGCTCAGAAGATTAGAATGCTGATAAAAATGCTGCCAGTAAAGACCAGGCACTAGATATTTCTGTTGGGAAGAAGAACTGCAGAACATGTGTGTTATGCCTTAGCGAAAAGTTTGTCTGCATTTTGTCTGTATCCAGAGAATGCCTGAGACTGAGATTAATGTCAGTAGACTAATTAATCTGGCTGAAGAAATTTCAGGGCCATATAATATTGAGGCTGTGGCATAGCTACTGTTGGGGTGACTTTAAGCCAGATCTAGGTTGAGAATCAAGAGCAAATAGCTCAACGGAATGATTTAAACATTTTGAGTTTTGCCAGAAAGGAAACCCCAGTATAGTTACAGCCTGCAAAGATGGAACAGAGGAGAAATTGGTTCCTGTAAAGACTAGCAAGAAAAAGCCAAGTATTTCAGAACAGGAGAATAGAAATGATGGCCTGAGGACATAACACGAAACAACAGGATTCTACCCTTTGCAACCTCAAAATTGCAAAAGTGAAAGAATTTTCTTTGAGAAGAGAGACTCATAACACCATGTTCCAGAATAACATCAGCCTGGGGAAGTTATTCCTCAGGATTTTGTTCATAGGCACTAGATCACTACAGTCAAGAGAGAGAGAGAAGCCTGGATACTGCTCCAACTGGCAACAGACCTTGGTATCATCCACGTGGTGCTGGTTTTAGGTGCATACAGAATGGAAGAGTTGTAGGGTCAGGAAGGCTTCCACCTAGATTTCAGAGGGCCTTGGAGGCTGGGTATTGTGCACCTGTGAGGGCAGTGAGGCTGTGAGTGTGAAGCCAAAGGTGAAGTGGAGACCTCAGAAGGTTGGAGAAGCCAGGAATATGGCTGAGGAAAACTGCAAGAAAGGAGCAGAACTGGCTCAAGAGAGAAGCCCTGGGAGCTGCAACCACCAGCAGTGTCATAAGGGTAGAGACACTTAAACCACTTGGAGTTCACATCTTACCACAGATTGCCTCAGATGCTGGACATGGAAGTATAGAACTTAATATTTGCCTTGATGGATTTTGATCTTGTTTTGTTTCCATTCCTTCTTGTTCCACTCTTTGTATCTTTTGGAATGGAAAGGTCTATCTTGTGCCATTGTGTTTTGGAAGTGTTTTTTCATTTTGTACAGGGGCTGTCAGCTAAGAGTTTGCCTTAAATCTCAGAGGAGACTTTCAACTGGGACTTTTCAGCAATGCTGAAACTGTTAGGATTTTGGCAACTCTTGGAGATGGACTAAATGCCTTTTGTATAAAGGGATGTGCCCTGCCTGAGAGGAATCCCTAGAAGAGTCTGCCCCTGTGGCAACTTCAGCATGGCCTTGGACTCCAGGAACCCAAGCCTCACAGGACTGAGAGCAGCCCCCTCTCAGAGTTGTGTAGAGAAGGAGATGGCTGGGTGACACATGTGCTCAAGTTCTCGGGTCAGATGCCCGCCCCTCCGCGGGTCAGATGCTGGGTTTCTGAAGCTACCTCCTGTTGGCATGTAGCCCAAGCATCAATCCACAGAAACTATCTGGGCTGTGTGAAGAGGTGATGTCTCCTCTCTGCAGTGCACAAGGGAGAACAGCAGGGAAAGACCTCATCTGGCCTGAGCAAAGACAGCAGGGCAGTGACCTGGGTCCCCCTGTGTAATGGCAGCAGTAGCTAATGAGGGCTGTGACATCACACCTGAGCCAGGGTTATATACACAGCATTCTTATAAGCCCAAGTTAAAATGTTGTTCGGACATTTGTCCTCTGCATTTCCTGGAGGAGTCATTTCACCTCTGTACTTTCAATTTGCCCACCTGGAAAAGGAGTGGTGAGGATGGAGTAGACTCCTGGGTAGTCCCAAGACAGCAGTCTATGGAGGGGTTAATGCATTCAGCAGAGTGGCGCAGTCTGTGAACCACCAAGCACAACCTGAAATGAGCTGAGTTCTGGGCTGTGGATGGAGGGCCTTGGGTAGAATCCGATCTGGTGTCTATAGGGCAGGGAGTGTCCCCTTGGTCCCTGAGCTCACTAGCAAGTTAGGGCCTCCCTTCAGCCTGGCAGGCAGGTGTCCAGGTGCTCAGGCCTGGCAACAAGAGATATAGAGAGCTCTGGGAGTGGATACTATGGGTGCCTCAGCATTGTCGAGAACAGTCCCCAGCTCCAGGGAGTTAAGGGAGGGTCAAAAAGAGATAGGGATTCTATCCACATGTCACTGTGCCTTATGGCCCTGCATTCTGTCAGACTAAGCGGCCCCTGATTCTCCACAGGTCCTCAGGGTCCTTGGGGAGGATTGGAGGAAAGCACTATTGTGGGTCGCCCCAAGGATATCACTGTCATGTTCTCACTGCTATCTCGATAGAGCAGGTGCTCACTAAACTGTTGGATGTGAGACTAAATTGACCCAGAATTCTGTCACTGGCACGAGACAGTGTCCCATTTCCTTTTTCCTCTCTATTCCCATTTGAAAAGCGAGGAGGTAGGTCTGGATATTTCTCATTGTTTCTTTCATCTCCAGATCCAGGTCTCTGCCATCCCATGCCCCGACTGTCACCAACTATCCTGAATGATGGAACAGCAGCAAGCCACACAGAGGATGCGTAAATGGGTTTTTATTGCCAGAAGGAGGAAAGGTACAGACACCACTGTCCCACATGAGGAGATGAGGAGTATGAGAAGTGCTTCTGGCCAGCTCAGGCAGTCACTCTGGTTGGTGATGCCCCTACCTTCCCAGATGGAGATGCGATTAGGGAGCGAGGCAAGGCCCTGGACACACACCTGGAATGAGGTATCAGGAGAAGGATATTTGCAACCAAGGCAGCCATAGCAGATGCTAGTCACTGCACATATGATTGGCCCCATCCTGGCCTGGACCCATAGTCCTGGCTCTTTCCCACTGTGTGTGATCTAAGGCCTTGGGGAGGGGAGTGGCACCTAGGTCTTGGCGTCTTTCTCTAGGAGCTGGCACTGACCCATCATCTTTATCCTCCCCTTCTGGGAAAAAGTGGGCAATGGGAAAGATTGAGTAGAGCTATAATTTGATCCAGGCTTAGGCTGCAGTACCTAATCAGGACCATGGGTCAGCCTAAGATTATGGTCAATGTTTAACCGAAATTGAGGCTCAGTTAATAACCAGCATTAAACTTAGTCTATCACTCAGATCTGTGCTCTCAGTATGGGGCTGAAATCAGAGCTCAGACTCAGTCTGTGACCAAGGCTTGGAGTTCAGAGTACAGTAGAACCAGAACCAGGGCTCAGCTGGGGTCAAAGCACAAGCTCAGTCTGCTGCTGCTGGAAAAAGAGGTGAAGTCCAGCTCCCTCTTCCCTCTCCACAGGGCCCCTGCACTGAGCACAGAGCCAGCCCCTTACCGACAGGAGACATTGCAGTGGTTCTCCTCGCTCATCCTCTTCAGATGGAGACATGCAGGTTAGCTGCATGGTGAAGTCTGGCTAAAGGGACAGAACCAAGAGCAGGCTTCAGTCTCTACCACTGGAAAATTGAAGAAAGATTGAAGCCCAATAGCCACCACCCTCCAGTGAGTCAGTCTGACAACTGTGGCTTCTCAGACATGTTGCAGCACCTCTCTGAGCCTCACTTTGTTCACCTGTAAAATGAGTACAAGGACAGTGCCCACTCCATGGGGCTGTTTAGTGGATCCAGCGAGACTGTATGCTCAGGGCAAAGAGTGATGACCCAAGGGTCTGGATTCATGACTTTTCATAGAAAAGCCACCTCCAGGGCCTTGGCATCTGCACTGCCCCATTTCATTTGGTCCAGTGGTCAGGCAGTCCCACAATACCTGGTGACCTGAAAGCTACAGAGAGTTTCCAGGTACAAGAAGAGAAGCCACAGACCCTACCTTTCTCATGAAGGTTGTTCCTTCTACTACTGTGGGTCCCTTAGGCCGAATTGCTTGATAGGGCAAGGCCAGAGCTGCAGGCTGCCCTTGGAAAGCACGCTTTTTCCTGTCCTGTGACTTACCATAGATCCCCTCAAGAGAGTTCACCTGCAGACCATCCAATGAGCTTTGGATCCATGGGAATAGCTGAGAGCCAGAGAAAAGAGAAATAAAGTGGGGTGGGAAGCTAAGGACAGATGGATCTTAGCTGGGGACACACTCTGTGCTACCCACGGAGAGACTTGGTTCTAGGGACTTGAAACCATTTCACCTTAGGATTCTAGCATGATGGAATCCTAGCAGTCTGAAATCTGAGAGCCCCATGGCCTATCACCTAAACCTTACAACATCAGAATTCTACAACATCAAGAATCTGGAGTGTTCATATCTCCAGAGTCTTGGAACCCTTGAACTTGGGAAATCTGGCTTTTAAAGGTGCCATGGCTGAGATAAGGGCTCAGTCTGCTGCTAGGAAAAGAGGTGAAGCTCAGTCTTGCTTTTGCCTCCCCTCTGGCCCCTTGCACTGCAGCTCAGAGCAGTGTGTTTTAGATCATGCATAGTGGCAGTGAATGGACACAGCAAAGGGCTTCAGTGTGGGACCTAGTGATGGCCACTACTGTCAACCCCTCCTCACTCTCCAGTCTGAGTTATGGACAAGAGGGCTCCCCTTGATCTCTCAAAGAGAAATTGGTACTTCAGAAGGAAAAGTCCAGAGAATATGGACAGGGCTGAAAATGCCACCCAGTCACCTACCAGGCCTTGCTCTGTGCCCCAGGGCATGGGGGACTCACTTGATTCTGTAACAAGGCAGAAACTATCTTCTTCAGAACATCAATCACTGAGTCCATGGACCTGTTGATCATGTCATTAGCTCTGGAAGAAATAGAGAAAGAATGAAGGCCTGACAAGTGGTCAGGCCAGCCACGGGCAGCATTTGGATGTAGGTAACATAGGCCTGACTGACCTTTCTCACTTCAGAGTTGCATCCAGATGGACTATTACTTAGCATCCCACACTTGGCCAGTGGCTCAACCAGTGCCCAGGAGTCCTCTTACAACCCTGAGACTTCATTCATTCATTCAATCAATCATTAAGTCACCCACATTCAAGCCACATTTTCAGAGCACCAACCAGATGCCAGGCCTCAAGCTGGGCCCTCAGAACAACAAGATGAGCAAAGGACAAGCAGCTTTGAACCTGGCCACTCAGACAAATCTACCAACACTGCCTCTGCCCACCCCTGCCCTCAGCATAACTATCACCTCCCATGGATGGCTCTGACAGCTTGTCTCAGGTAGAATTTGGCCGTCATAGAGCCCTGTTCAGTGTCATGGACTGCACAGGACTGGGCTCTGTTCTTGAGAGTCCTCAGTGGATGGACAGATCATTCTTCTGCCTGCCTGTCCCTCAGAACAAGCTCCACAAGGATAGGATTTCATCTATCCTCACCAGTCAGGGCTTCAGAGTGGAGTCTTGTGAGTGAGAATAGCAGGAACCTCACCAAGATCCTAACAGCAGAACCTCACTAAGAAGGAGGAGGTGCACTGAAGTAGAGTGAGAAGATAGGTATAATAAGTAGCCAGGATGGTCTGTGTAAAAGTCCTATGGTAGGAAAGAAAAGTGAGGGTGGGTTCAGATTAAGGACAGTCTACATGGGACTGTTTCAAAGTACAAAGGAGAGCCTGGAGAGGATTTGAAGCAGCAGCTGTGTGTCATTTGACAGAGGTGGATACAGACCAAGAATAGCAAGGTCAGTTCCCCGGGGCTGCTTGACAAGGTAGTATCTAGCAGGGTGCAAGGCTCTGGATTTGCATCCAGATTTCCACACTAACATCCAACCATGGAGTATTTCTTGATTTTAGGGATCTTCAGGCAACCTGGGATCAGACTTATTTGTAAGGGGGGTGTGGAGTGACCTCTGGTCATAGTCACTAGGGGTGAGAACCATGGACCTAGCTTTGTTCCTGGTCAGAGACAACCAGCATCAGTCCTCAGCTTCCAGATTAGTTTCTTTTCCCAGTTACTGACCATGGTTATCTTTTCTCTATTTAACTTTTTGTCTGTGCCCAACCTCCTTTCTAAAAGACATTACTAAAATGTATGTTTTACAGATTAACTGGCACCAGGAGAGGATAAAGGACAAATTCATCTCAAGAATTTTCCAATGGGTGCATAATGATTTGAGGAAATCTGAAATCAGAGCCCATGATAAGCATTGATCTGCCCACTCCTCTGAACTACAGGGAGGAGAGTAAATAAAAATTTAATATTAATTATTGCTGAGGAACATTACATAATGATAGAGTGGTCAATTCTCCTGGAAGACATAATAATCCTCAGCATATATACACCAAACCACAATGTTTAGAAGAGAGTCACCAAACACTGACAGAGCTGAAAGGCAAAACAGGCAAATTCATAAGTCTGGCTAAAAAGGTGACATCTTGCCTCAGTGATGGAGACACCCAGTTAATGGGTTCAGCATGGATACTAGAACTATGGTGAGCTTACTGTGTCCCAGGCTCTATGATAGATGTTTGTATTTTTCTGCTCCATGTTTCAGAAGCCTATGAGTAGGATCATTATTATCCTCTGAGAGCCCAGCTCTACAGAGATGATGGGCCTTACCTGTCCAGTAAGGAGATCGTGATGGTGTCTGGGTCAACAGTGAATTCTCCCACAGTCACAGTGAAGAGATTGGTCTGAGGTACTGGTATAAGTCTGATTCCAGTCAGGAGGTCCAAGGAGACCTCTAAGTTGACCCTCCTGCAAATGAGGGGCCTATAGGAAATAGGATTCACAGTGACCAGAAAGCAGGAACTTCATACACAACCCACTCCTGTTTCTGTACCTCTGTGGACATTTTGTAAGATGTCCATAGGTAATGTCAGCATTGCCTGGGGAATGACAACATGGTCCACATTCTTTGTGGCATTTACATGTTCATATTAGGGTTTCTTCTCTGAGCCACTTGGGTTCAATTTATAGGAAAACTATATTCAATATTACACTGATAATTAAAATAACAGTTAACAGTTTGAGGACGAATTATTTCTAGGCATTTGAAGTGCATTCAGAAAGCATTTCGCCTGGTTTAGTCCATTTAATCATTACAACAATGCTATGAGAGGGGCTGGGGATTTAGCTCAGCGGCAAAAGCGCCTGCCTGGCAAGCGCAAGGTCGTGAGTTCGGTTCCTGGTACCAGAGAAAAACCAAAAAAAAAAAAAAAAAAAAATGCTATGAGAGAATCATGCTTTACTTTTGAAATTTGGTGACATGAGTACAGAAAGGTTAAGTAGTTTACCCAAGACTTCATACTAATGCATTTAATTTCTAGAAATTCATTTTCTTGTTTGTGTGGTTCTGGGATAGAATCAGGTGTCCACACACGCTAGGCAAGCACTGTACCATTGAGCTACAGCCATAGCCTAAAGAACTTCTTTTACACATGCTTTCTCCTGCCACTTTCCTGCCTGTCTCTTCTAAATTTAAAACCTTAATGTCCTATTTTGTGTGTGTGCTCTTTATTATATTATGCACATTATTATGTGAATCTAATGATTACAGGTATTTAGAAAGAATCTTGAAAGACAAAAGAACACTGGAAGAAATTTTGCCAAAGAATTATAAATATTCATGTCATCTTAATTTTACAATAAGATAAATTTACCATTAGGTAAATGTCATAATTTCAAAAACATTGTATACAGCATTCTTTAGAAGAGTCTAGGCTATCACCAAAGACAACCAGAATTTTTAAAGATTGAGATTCTAGACCTGGAAAGTTTCCCTTGTTTACAAGTTGGGAATTGGAGGTTGAAAGCCACATAGTCTCCCAGGAAGGTGAGGATTAGCAGACTGAGGTTCACCAGCCATTCTGCACCATCTCTCCCAGGTCTGACTACACATACTCACAGGGCTGCAGTGACGTTAGCCGTGACCAGAAACCTCAGGGTGATACTTCTGCCATCTGTTGCCTGTTCAGCCTGGATGTTCTTGATGACAGTCTTGCTGATTCTCACCCTGCTCAAAACCCACCATGGTACCTTGTTATTGCCCAGGCAGACATCTGTGAAGCCCTTCTGTATACCAGAGTCATACTGCATATTTGGGCCCCACCAGTCTTGCCCTTGTAAGTCACCCTCCAGGCCTCCAATCCTCCTCAGAGGATTGCATTTTAGGGCACAGCAGATTGAGGCTCTGACAGATGTGGTAATTTTCAAGGGGAACAGCAAGTGCCAGAGCCCAATTTCAACCCAGATCTGACTCCAAAACTCCATGGGTCAAGCCACTATCTGGGGCTAAGTGGAATGAATTTTCCTTCCCTGAATGGGAATTTAGCCTTTTATCTTCTGATGTATTTGGAAAAGACATGTTCATTCTTCGGAAAGAGCTTTAGACACCAGCACACATGTGGAGGCGAGGATGTATAGAATCTTCACTTTCATCCTAAAATTACAAAATGTGGGAACACAAACGCACAGATGCTCATATTACCCTGTAGCCCTACCTCTAATCTTTTCAAATTTGGTGGGGCTGGCCTTAGAGCACTTCAGGGCTGCAGAGGAGAACAAGGATGGTCTATTTGTTTTTGATCCTACACTGACCTCCCCTTTCTAAGAATCCCCTATGTTTGGAGCAAAGATCACCAGGAAGGATGAACACACCCAAAAGACTTCTCCAGACTTGGAAGCAAGTGAGGCAAGGCAAAGTCCACCACATTCTCAGTTTTCTGGATCTTCCTTTTAGCAATGAAATCTGGAAACACCATGGGGTTGAGATTCCATTGCCAATGAAAACCTGCCAATACAATCCCCATTTAGTGTCCTGTACCACTTAGGAAACAGCTACTATGCTGCAGGTGTCAGATTTGCCCATGTTATTTCATTTTATCCCTGAAATGATTCAGTGAGTAGATGTCATAATTACCTTTGTTTTACAGATGAGGAAATAAAAATTCAAGGAAGTTAAGAAATGTGTTTAATCACAGAGCTAGGGAATCCTTGATACTTTCATGCTGCCTCTAAACCAATACATACTGATCCTTTATCAACAAAGCAATCAATCATTTGGCCAGGAAATTGATCTCAAATTGTACGCACCTAAATGTAATTTGGAAGCCTATTGCTCTAAAAGACATGCTCATGTGAGTTTGAAAAACTAGGTGAAACAAAATGGGAAAGTGAATGAAAAAATGGAAAATCTACAATTAAGGAAAAATATAGGACTTTGTTATGGCTTGAATCTAGACGTCCCCCCCCCCAAAAAAAACTTGATGAACCCATAGGTGGGGCTTTTCAGAGGTAGCTAGATCTAGGGTGTGTGAATATGGATTAAGGGTGTGGAATAATTAAATTAGTCCACTGATTGGTTTAGTACAGCTCTGGTTGTGGGAAGGCCCACCCTGGTTGTGGGTGGCACCATCAAATAGGCTTGTAGCCTGGATCAGATAAAGGTCCAGAAGGCTTGCTTCTGGCTACCTCCCGCCTGCCACTCCATGTGCTGTTTCTCCTCAGTCGTGCCCCCCTGCTATGGCTCCCTACCTTGGAGCCAGTCGACTATGGACTGAAACCTCTACAACCTGTGGGTTAAAATAAATCTTTCCTCCTTTAACTTGTAGGTGATGGATATTTGGTCCCGGCAAGAGAAAAGTAACTAGGACAGGCTCCAACCCTTGAAAGTGACAAATAGGAGTCCCTGAGAATAATAATTCTTACTAGGAGGAGAACAGAGTGTCTTAATGGGAGGTGTACATACAATAGGAGGATGCGATAGAATAAAAGGCATGATGGATATTGGATGGGAAATATGAAAGGAAATAAGGATATGTGTAGAAAATAATGCAAGTGAGAAAAACAATTACTAACTCAAAGAGAAACAGAGAATCATATAAGAAAAGAAATAAAATCACAGTAGTGCAAGCTGGCTTCCCAGTGGTCAGACTCTGCTTAGTATAAAGATAGAGAGAATGGAGATAAAACTACCTGTGGTTATAAAACTCACTAGGTAACCTTGATCCTGACACTTTTTCTCTTGACTTCAGTTTTCCCAGCTTTGAAAGAGGCTGGGTATCCTTCCTACATCTGTACAAGTTGCTTAAAGCTTGAGAAAGTTTCAAAGAAAATGATATAAATGAATGAGTGAAGGATTGGATGGATGGTTGGATGGATGAACTCATGGATCTCATCTCATGTTATGAATTAAAGAAGGAAGAAAGGGGAATTTGAACCCAAAGTGTCAGGTTACCATGGAACCTTGTGTTTTGGAGGCTACAGAGAATTCAATTTCATTCTCTGTCCTCACCATCTTAAGAGATGGCACCACAATCCACCTTGCTGTCGCAGGTTCAACTTTGGAGTTGCCCTCGCCTCCTTTGCTCACACCAGCCATCTGTCAGGAACTCCCATTAACACTCTCATTCCAGATGGTTCCCTCTCCTATAAAAACTGATTGTCAATGTACTGTTAGTGTTTTCAAATAAAGAGAAGAAAAACCCTTGTTCTTTTAACAATACAGCATAAAGTAGAGGTACATTTTATCATGAGTATAAGTAAGTCAGTAGGTACCTAGGCTAAGTAGGGGTAACTTCCTTATTTCCCAGTCACTTAACACCAGTCAGTAAGGTAAAGTCCAACAATCCAATAGGAAAGTATGTATGAATGTGGAGAAAATACTGAAGTTAAAATATATGAATGGATAGTAAGTATACATATCTGAAACCAAAGAATTTTCAAAATGAAATACAGAGTGAAAGAAGTTATAGTCTTTTAGAAAGTTGTCAGTGTAATTGCTCATGATGGAGTAGAGAAAAAGATGCTCTCATAGGTTATGGGAGAAAGTGTTATTTCTCAAAATTCCCATCAAATAAAATGTGCATTATTTTTTAACTTGAGAGATCTCACTTTTAGAAATTTGTCCTCCCTATGTACTGGCAAAGTTTTTCAAGATGTAATATGTTAAAGGATGTTTATTGTTGGTTTCAAAACAAATAAGATCACAAGTCAGGCATTGAGAAGCCCCCTTTCTTAGTAACCCACCCACAAAAGGAATTCCCTGGGGCAGCCCCTGACATGGGAGGCACAGTGACTGGGAGTGAACTTTTGGGTCCCACAAATCCTCATCCCACTGACTCACCTTCAGCTAGACTGTCAGCAGTCTCAGGCACATTCTGCAGAGCAGGTTTCACCTGGCCCACAGAATTACTTCGACCATTGAAAAGAAAACCTTCTGAGATCCCCGTGAGCAGGTGGCACAAGAGAAGAAGCTTCCAAAGCTGAGACCTCATTTTTCCTGACACCTGGACAGTCATGTGGAGAACAGGAATGAGAACAGCCCAGAGGGAGGAGGAATCTTCCAGCCCTCCTGTTATTCTTCCACTTAACCTTCTTTCAGACAGATGTGGTTACCTGCTGATTTACAGGTGAGCAGCCAAGGTCAGAAAATGGGAGTACAGGGACACACAGCCAACAAGTGCAAGGGCTAGGATGGAAAAGGTAGCCTTGCCTGCACATTCGTGGTCTTTACACAAAGGTGTTTTGCACAAGCTCCCTGCTGTCTCAAATGTCTTTCAACGTCTTCACTTCGTCACCTAAGTCACTTCTTCCTGATTCTCTGGCTTCAGTCAGACATCACCTCCTCTGTGAAGTTACACCAAGCTCTACACCAGAGTCTGGCTGGGGGCCTCTCCATGCTCTTCAGAGGACCCCAGGGCCTGGGGTAGTTTATCTTGGGGTTCCACAGCCGAGGTTCAAATCCCTACTCTGCCACTTGCTCTCTGTGTGACCCTCACCCTGATGAGTCACTGTGTCCCCCTAGGCCACAATTCCTCCTTCTACATTAGAGGTGATGAGCAGGGAGGGGATAATTTTGCATCCTTGAGGCAGCTTTCCTGTCAGTGGCAGTGTAGTCCTCACCAGAGTGAGGATGAGGTGAGGACCATGCCACTGTCAGGCACAGCTTGAGTGGGCTGAATTCTGGGCTGTGGAATGAGAAGGTCTGAGTGGAGAGAGGAGCTGATCTCCATGGGACATATTAGTGACACCCAGGTCATTGTCATCACAAGGGAGGCCACATCTAAATAATCCTCATCTGTACTAATGAATGTGTGTGAAATGGTATAAATGAATGACTGAAGGATTGGATGGATGATTGGATGGATGAATTAATGGATCTCATCTCATGTTATGAATTAAAGAAGGGAGAAAGGGGAATTTGAACCCAAAGTGCCAGGTAACCATGCAACCTTGTATTTTGGAGGCTACAGAGAATTCAATCTAATTCTCTGTCCTCACCATCTCAAGGGATGGCACCACACTCCACCTTGCTGTCACAGGTCCAACACTTGGAGTTTCCCTCGCCTCCTTTTCTCATCTGTCAGGAACTCTCATTAACACCTCTTGTTTCTAACCTCATCCAAAGTGTCCTCCTCAGCCACCATAATTGTGGCCTGAATTACTGCAAAGGGTCTGACCTGGTTCCCTGTCTTCTGTACTGGCCACCACTCCCCCTTGTCTGCACAGCAGCCCTAGCAAGCATTAGAAAATGCATTCAGACCACGCCACCAGTCTAAACTCTGAGCTCTCCAGTTTTCTGTCACACACAGAACAAAAATCATTCCTGAGATACACTAGGCCCTCGGGGATCGTGCTTTCTACCCCTGTTCCTCCTTGCCCATAGGCCCAAGCAGACACAAAGGTGACTGACACTGACCCTGTGCTCTCCCCTCACACTGCAGGAGCTATATAAGGTTCCACTCATAGAAGGGACAGCACAAGCTTTGCAAATGTCACCACAGCCTTGGTCCATTCTTGGCAATGCACCCTCTGTAAGAAATCATGCCAACAGCTAGGTTTGGGGTACTAGCTGTCCCCCTTTTTGATGTCCTTTCTTAGTACACAAACTGTCTTCAGGGATGTTTGTTAAATATCAATTACTTTCAAGGGGACTTTTCTAGGATTCTGGGTCTTATATAGCCAGCTATAATTTTGCCTTTCTTTCTTTGTTTCTTTGTTTCTTTGTTGTTTCTTTCTTTCTTTTTCTTTCTTTCTTTCTTTCTTTCTTTCTTTCTTTCTTTCTTTCTTTCTTTCTTTCTTTCTTTCTTTTTTTCTTCCTTCCTTCCTTCCTTCCTTCCTTCCTTCCTTCCTTCCTTCCTTTCTTTCTTTCTTTCCCTCTTTCTTTCTTTCAAAGAAAATTAGAGAACAAGCACAATTGAAAAGCATGAACACATTGTCCTTGGATCTTTGGCCACCTCAGCACGGGGGAGGCGACTTTGTCAGTCCTGCCTCCTCAACACTGTGTTCTCAAGACACAGATGTGAAGGAAGGAGATGCTCAGAGCCTGATGCCTGACACTTGAGGGAAGATTTGGGGCCAGGGGACCTTGCCCAGCAGTGAGCACTGGATCTGGAGCAAAAGTGATACAAAATCAGGTACAGGGAATAGCAGGTGCTTTGGGGTCTCTGGAACCAGGGTTCGCCTCTTGCCTCTGCCTCTTGGCTGGTTAGGGGAACAAGATCACAGGGCAGAAGGCGCTTGTGCGGCCCGCAGAGCTGGAGGGAGGAAAAAGAGAATGTACCCACCGCTGTGCTCTACAGTCACCCCTCTTCATCCCCATCTCCCTGAACCTCAGCTTCCTCTTCCCCAGGGCAGCAGGTGGAGAAAAATGACACAAAGTCCCAGGGTCCCAAGAGGGTGGCGGGACATGGGACATGTGCAGAGTGTAAAGGAGCCACCTCAGCTGAGACTGTCACAAAGGAGAGCACAACTGCCTAGGCCACTCCAACCCCTGGGGGTTACAGAGGGGAGTGGGACAGAGAGGCAGGGTGGTGGTTCAGGGAGCCTGGCTATAACAGTGCAGACTGTGGGCCCCACTGTCCTTCACTCAGCAAGAAGAGGTGCTAAAGTCATTAAGTGCTCAGTGACCGGCACTGTGGACACTGCGGATCCATGCAGAAAGGCCAGGCAGTGTCCTTATTCCCCTGGAGCTGGCAGAGTCACCTGCAGACCTGCAGTCTTCAAGTAGCCTTGCTCTTGAGCATGATGTAAAGCAGGGCCTTCTGGTAAGGTGGGGTTCCTGGGAAGGTACAGGGAGGGCGCTCAGGCCAGGGTGCTAGAGAAAGACCACTCTGAAGAGGTTACATATGAACCCAGCTTAGCAACAGTGCCGCAGGTGGGAATGTCCTCCCTGGTGCCTTAGGCTGTCTCCCACAGGGGATGATGGGGAAGGCAGGATGCTTCTTCTTAAGCTTCTCCTTAGAGGATGGGGGGCTGCCATTCATTTCTGGGGGCTCATTCCTTACCATGGGCCTCTCATTCTCCCCAGAATTCCTCAGGCTGCTCTCTGTATGGTTTTATTCCACCCTCATGCCACACAGGTGAGAAGACAGGGACCCGGAGAGACCCAGAGGTTGCTGCTGGAGCTCTTATCTAGGCCTTGGCCCTACATACGGACGGACATATGGACATACAGACCACTCATTCTTCCCAGCACTGCCTAGGTGCTGCGACCTCTGGGTCCTGGAGCTGAAGGTGATAGTAACCTTATCTGTTATAACCTCCTTTGCCAACCAAGTGGATTTCCGAAGAACCTGACTTATTTAGGGGAGGAATTTTGAAACCATGACAAAAACTTTAGTTTTTTTGTTTTGGTTTGTTTTTTTTTAAGCACCAGCTTAAAGAGTATTGCTCCCAGCCCCAGTTGACCATGGTCTCCTAGTGCTGACCTCCTGGCCTCCTGAAGAATGAGTTTTCCGGGTGAGCTCCACGTCCCCCCCCCACTTTGCCTTGTTCAAGATGCCTGTGGAGAAACAGAGTCCAGACAAAAGGGGCCAGTTCTACTGAACTGTGGAGACAGAAGGCTAGATGTTGGGTCGCCACTGTGGCAGGAGTTCAAAATCCCAAAAGGTGTGTTACAACACAGTGCAAGCCTCAGGTTTGGTGAACACTTCCCGTGGCTCACTGGGCTACTCTAAACCACCCCAGTACTAAGTGAGACTTTGAGGAATCTGGCAGAAAACAGCTGAACTTGAGAGGGCTTTGCAGGGATCATAGTGCCTCCACTTGGTGGTGCTGGGAACTCGTGAGTTACGGGGTAGAATTTCTCTTAAGACCCAGGAGAGTGGACAAAGGGCCCTGTCTGGAAATGAATACATCCAACCTAGAGTGGGTGAGGATGAGCAAAGCCAAATCAGAGGCACCTACCATAACCTAAACCTAAGCCATAGCAGGATCAAAGGGTCCACACATCCGCTGTCTTTTTTTGTGGGGGGGCAGTACCAGGAATCGAACTCAGGACCTCGTGCTTGCCAGGCAGGCACTTGTGCCGCTGAGCTATATCTCTGGCCCCCAATCCACTATCTTTTTGAAATTTGTCTCCTCCTCTTTGGAAACTACTACCCAATTCAGAGTCTGCACACTTTTTCTTTGTAATGTGTAGCATCCAACAAAAAAGGATGAGATGACTAAAAACCAAGAAAATAAAATACACAATATAGGAACCCATAGGTGATGCAAATACGAAACTGTTAAGCCAGCAACAGGGCGGGTGTTGGCTCTGGATGATCCCGTGGTGATGCCAAGGCAGTAGAGTCAGCTTTGGAGAGATTCTCTGTGCAGCTAAACGGATTTGGGCACCTATAGAAGTCCACTGTACTAATTCCTGCCTATCCCTATTTTACAGATAGGAAAATGAGCCTCTGAGCAAAATTATGCTTCCTCTGAGCTTTAGTCAGTGACTACAACACAGTTCTTTTGCCTTGCAGTGTAGACTTTACCCAGCGTCTCCCTAAAAAAGTAGCTATGAGGATTCAACAAGCATTTTGAAAATTGCCTGGCTTGGTGCCACTAAATAGAAGTTAATTTTGGATGTGCAAATGGAAGTTTATTTTTATCTTTCCCTGGCCCTGACACTGTCCTTGGAAGCTCCCATAGCATTTTTAGAGGACTTGCACACTACTACAATTACAAAGGAGAGGGGTGACCAGAGGAACACCCTTGCGTCCTAAGTGTGGGGACAACACAAAGTCTTTGCACTGACCTATGTCACAGGACAAATGTTGATGCATTTTACTTTAAACAGAAGGAAATAGAAGTGTACAGAAGTGAGGACACTTGTCTATTCTTACTTCTTTCACATTTTTGTATTTTCAAGGACAAATAAATGCCTAACAAGGAAATCATCTTTCCCAGCCTTCTTTGCAACCAGCCTTGGTAAAGAGGGTATAAATAGAAGTTCAGGGTTGAGTCTAACTAGAATGTTTCTTAAAATGATGGACCCAGTTAGGAGATCTGGATCTCTCTTTTCCCTCATTCCTTTGCTTGATCTAAGGCAAGGTCAATGGATTGCAGCAATTATGCTATTAGCATGAACACCCTACCAAACCAGCCTACCTCTATTCTTCTCATTACTGCTCCAACTCATTTCCTGTGCTAGCACCAAAAATAACTTGCAAGAGATCACATTTATTGAAAGCTCTGGTCTGGTTCAAATTGTGATTTAAGAAAGAAACAGGTTAGAGAGAGAGTCATAGCAATGCTACCTGGATTTCTCCTGGGAGGTGTGGAGATGCGGTGGTCTCTGTGAGTTTGTTCCTAGAGGGTTAGGAAGTAGGGTGATCTATATAAATGATGACGGACCAGATTCTGGGGAGACGTGGCACTTGGTGATAGACAGCTAGGAATCCCTGGGACTCCCTCCATCCCACCACATCCATCCAACTCCTCCAAAGCAAACATCCCTGCCCAGGGGAGTCCAGGAAGCTGGGGCTCCCCAGGATCTCCAAGGCAAACAAGGCAGGGGACAGCAGCCATGGTGTGACAACACTAGAGATGAATCTATGCCTCACAGATGTCATGAGAGAGAGAGGTGGGGAAGTGGCTGAGTCCTAGAGGGTCTGAGAGTTGAAAGTCCTGTGTCAGACAAATTTCCTCCTTAGAATAGACCCCGAGCCTCTGAGGAAGGATGCTGTTTTGTCAGCATGAAGGGGAGCAGGTGTCCTGGATTCAGGTTCCTGACTGTTATTTTGGAACTTTGAGCCCTAAACTCCTCCTGAACTTGCTCTCTGACACTGGTCAGCTCCCCTGGTATTTCTGGGCCTCAGTTTGCCCATCTGCAATATTAGTATCGAACACTGACAGGCAGTTTTTACCAAGGCTTGTTGAGTCCTCCCTGTGTACTTATAACACAGGAAGGGTTTATTAGCCTGTGTACAAACGAGGAGCTGAGGCTCAAGGGAATCTAGATCTTTCCCCAAGGTTACAGCATTACTCTATGCAGAGTGAGGATTAGTCTCTAGCTCTACCTTCATCCCAGCTTGGAATCCTGACCTTATACCTCATGTCCCTCCTTTCAGAGCAGAGCTGAAGCTTCCTTGTGGATTGGGGACTGTTTTCTGTCTCACTGAGTTTGGAGACCTAGGGACAGATGCTATTCATCAATTACTCCAAAATTCATGACCAACTCGATCCTTCTTTTCCACTGTATTAACACCTGGCTGTGCTGGGTATGTATCAGACATTGGAACTGATCTCCCCGTGGTGATGGTAAGAGGAGGGGTATGTGGGAAGTGTAATCTGTGCTCCAGATTGGTTTAAGGCTGCCGCGAAATGAAGCATCAAGGAACTGCCTGGATCTACTAATTCTCTTTTCCCATGTGAGGACACAGTGTCTGTCACTTTTATCATTTCTGTCCCTTCTGCCATGGGACACTGCAGCCACAGGCGCCAAGTTAGAAGCAGAGGTCCAGCTCCCTCCAGTTTCCATATCTGCCTACATCATCATGGACTTCATATCCTCCAGAAGTGTGAGAAATAAATGTCTTTTGTTTATATGTTTCCCCATATAAGGTATTTTGTTATAGCAGCAGGAATAGACTGAGACAACAGGTATTTCACATGACTCAAATAGTCCATGTTTATGAAGGCCTGATTGTTAGAGCCAGCTCTTCTTTGTGGATTTAGAGAGCTGTCTGGGACCTCCACAAGCCTGTAGTGCGTGTACCTCCCTTGTCTGTACCAGGTGTAGTGCAGCTGTTAGAACCAATGCGCTCTGTCCCCCTGCCCCTCAGCCTCCCTTTTCTGAAGAATTTATTCCCTCTACCTCCGGCCTCAGTGGTGTTTGGCACACAGAGGTGCAGCATCCTGGCTGAGGGAACACAGCTGTGGGAAGAAGGAGTTCCTTGCTCGAACACAAAGGGGAAAGAGACCAGCCAGGGGGCAGAGAGAACAATATCAAGGGGGCCCCACCTGGCCTGCACATAAGAAAGCAAACCAGGAAAGTGGTGACCTGTGCGGGCCGGCAGTACAGTCAGCCAATACGAGCCAGGACACTGCCTCTCTGCACCAGAGGGATTTGTCCTGGGGCCTCAGAGCTGGAGTTCGATTCTGCTCTGCCACTTGCTTTCTATGTACCTGGATGAGGCACTTTGCCCCTGAGAGTCTCAGTTCCTGCTCCCGGTAGTGGGGATGGAGGGGACTCATGTGTGGTCCTGGGGCAGCTCTTCCTGATGGTGTGGTGCCATCAGCAGGGTGACACAGCCAGGTGTGGCCTGGGATGGGCGGGACTTGGGTCTCCTTTCCTGGTAGTTACTACAGAGGCTTAAAATTGTAATACAGAAGCACTCTTCCTACTAAAGACACTTTGGGAACATGTAGTCATTTTTTAACAGAAATGTGTCATATGTTGAAATATAATTAATTATTGCTATTTGGAAAGCAATTAATAAATATATTTTAAAGGTTTTTCTGCCGTAATTTCCTTCATGCCAAATATTAATCGTAAGAATCCATACAACAAAAGCTCCTAAATTTCCTTAAGAACTTTTATTCCTGAAGAATTCCTCAAGAATTTTTCTATTTTTTAGATTTTGAGACAAGATTCTGCTTAGTTGCACAGACTGGCCTCCAGCTTGCCTTCCTCCTGCCTCACCCTCCAAAGTAGGTGGGGGTGCAGTCCCCCAGCACTACACCTGACCTAGTCCTCAATTTTTTGGAGTATACTAAAAAGGACATCTGAGAACCGTAGGCTCAGAGGATGCCACTTAAATGCCGCCAGCGTGGCACACCCAGCCCTGCCCTCCTGACCCTCACACAGCGCACTCCAGCAGCTGAGGGCTGCGTCCCTCCTCCCAGCCTTCCCTCATCTGCTCGCTTCTGCTTAGATGTCCTCCATTCTCTCCTCTGCCCGCCATCTTGTCGCTTTCTGCTCTGTTGCCCCTTCTCTGGGAAGGCCCCTGCCTGCTTCCCCCTCTAGGCTGGGGCAAGAGCCCCCTTGAAACTTCTTTCATCAGCACCAAGCTCTGTTTACGCGCCCGTCTGTGGTGGCAGGAACCTGCCTTGTGTGCCACCTGCCTGTCGCCTCTGCAGCAGGTGAGCATGAGCGCTAGAACGACTCCTGTGTGCTGAGCGTGGGGGTCAACTCCTCAGGGCCCCACTGAGCTGCCCACCACTGGGGCTGTCCAAGCTGGATCCTGGGCCCTTTCCTACTTTCTAAAAATGAGTTTGTTTTTTTTCAGAATCCTAACAGAAGTAAGTTACCTGTAACAGTAAATTCTCGTCAATATTTGTACCCCTCTGCAGTTGTTTGTCTACTTTCAGCTTTTTGCACCATTGTGATTCTAGTGAAGTGCAATTCTAAGATCTGCATGTTCATCCAGCCAGAAATCACCAGTATTTCTAATTTTTTAAACATGCAGAAAATAGTTTACAGAGATGATATCACAGACGGCCTCTTTAACACAGCTTCTTTGACATTTCCAATGGGATAAATTTGATTCCACTTCAATCCAAAGAGTAAATATTTGAAGGTGCTCACTCACTGTTAGAGATGTGGAGAACTATGTACACTGTCTTCTGGTCCTGTAAATAGGAAGATCCGGCTTGGAAAATCATTTTAATTTGTTTCTGGGGTCATGAGATTTCCCCAGGCACTCTCTTAGTAACTCTGATTGGGAGATGTCACCCTGAAGGAATTGGGCAAACCCAGTGACCATCTGTACGTACCTAGACTAAGCCTCTAATGGGCCTGCATGGCGTGTGGTAGTCTTTCTGGAGGCCTCTATGAGCTTTCTTCCCACATAGTACCTTATATGGACATCTTTTCATCCCATCTAGGCCTCTTCATCCTCCAATCCTCTTTCTTGTGGTGCCACCTTCTCCAGTAAACCCTCGTCCCTGCTGTGAGTTCTGGGACTAGTAGGCAGGGAGCGATACCATGTCCTGGAGGGACCAGGGCACAGGAGGCAAGCCCACCCCCTTGCGTTGCAAGCTTGTTCTCTTTCCCCTCAGTGGCCACAGCAGATACCATTTGGGCCAAATACCAGTCCCTCCTATCCCCCAGCCCGTGTCCTTGCTCTGCATGCTTAGGGCCATGTGTGGCTCACAACCCAGGATTTATGTCCTCAAGTGAAGGTATCTGTTAAACAGAAAATAATGACAAGTATTCTGTATTCCTCAGGCCTCGTTTGCCAGAATCCCTCAGCTCCTTCTCCCATTCACCTTGTCTATATAGGGTGTCTGACTGTACAGGCAAAAAGGGCTTTGTCCATCCATCCATCCATTCAGCAGTGGCTCCATTCTGTCCATCACCTGTTGCTTTCCTGGGTGCAGGGGCTGTTGAGAGGAGCAAAGCTTCAGCCTCCAAGATTCCCCAGGCAGTTGGGGCAGAGAGGGGCATTAGAGGAGGGACCCACATCCTGAGAGGTGAGCCTGGTGAGGTCCCCCTGCACTGGGCACTAAGGACGCAGTGGCTAGCAGTGCTCCATCTCAGCCCACTTCCGTTGTTCTAACAACAGAGACCAAGCCATAGATCCAGAATGGAAGCAGGTATGGTTCACCCTTCTGGCGGCTGAGAAGATGAAGATCATGACACTGGCATCTGCTGTGTGTCTGGAGGGGGGCCTTCCTCTGTCATCTTAATGAGATGCATCTTAATGTCATATGGTGTGACAGAGTGAAGGGTGTACCATCTTGGGCCACTCTTTACCTTATTAACCATTAATAGCATCATGAGGGGGCCCTCCTGATGACCTGATCCAATCCTAATTCATTCCCCACCACAAAATACCATTAACAAGGGAATTTCAGGATTAAGTTTTCAACACAGGAACTTTCAGGGGATGAATTGAAACACTGCAAACTGTAAGTTGGGGAGTACAGTGCCGCTTTCATATGTTTGGAAGGGACTTACCTGGAAAGTGACTCCTGAGCAGATACTTGAAGGGCTTCATCCAGCCATCTAGCCAGCCATCCAAACAGCCATCCAAACAGCCAGCCAGCCAGCCAGCCAGCCATCCAGCCAGGAGTGGATTCAACAGGAGATTTCAGCCAGCTTGGGTACAAGAAAGAGCAATATCAGTACTCAGAGAGGCCATGCCTGCAAAGATCTAACACAGGGGGTCACAACAGCACTGACATTTTGGAATGGATGATCGTTTGCTGTGAGTGACCATCCTGTATATTATGGGAGGGTGAGCAGCATCTGTGGGGTCCTCCACCCCACAGATGCCTCTATCACTCCATCCCCTATATAGCAAGTGCAAAGTAAAACTATCTCCTGATATTGCCAAATGTCCCCTACAGGACGAATGTCATCACAGGTGGAGGACAGCCCATGTAATGCAATTTTTTACATGTCATAGGAACTGAATAAACATTTACTCTTTCCTCCTTCACTACTGGAAGGAATGTTATATTCTGACTTGTGAAATTAGCAACAACCTTCAGGTATTAGAGCAGAGACTGGGAGAGGATACAGAAAATGAGGTGTGCAAAGCAGGACACACAAGCCTAGGGCAACAGTCACACTGAGACAGGCCCTGGGGGCTGACTAGTTTGGGGTAGAATCTAATACCCCCAACCCAGGGCTGGACAGTGGGTGAATATCCATGTATAGGGCCAGAGACTCTTCTCTACAGGGCAGAACTGTGACCATTTACTGATGAGGGTGAGTTTGAGTAAAGGTTCAAGGATAAGGTCATTCATTCATTACAGGAGCACGGTCTCTCTCCAGGAGCACAAGAGCCCCTTCTGTCTCCCAGGCAGGCCATGAGAACAGCGGGAGCAAAGGCCCTGAGATAAGAGGAAGAGGACATTTCATGCAGCAGAGGACTTGATCAACAGTAGGTTGACTGTTTGGAGAACACTCCAACTAGGTCCCTCACTGAAACCTTGTGAGGCTATCCCAGCTTTGACGGGACAGTTAAGTGACTTAATACAGCTAGGTAAGGCAGGGCACCACTCAGGTGTCCCTTCGAGGGGACTTGCTGCAAAGAGGGCGGATCATGTCTCCACTTCAGTCACCTTGAGTCACACAGAGCAAAGTCTTTGGGGCCTTGTTCTCCAAAGTGTTTCCATCCTGAGAAAATATAAAATTTCAACACAGTTTATTTACAAGCCTAGTTTCTTTGAGTCATATGAGATACTCATTGTCTCAGATTCATCCTGCTGCTTTAACAAAATAGCCTGTATGGGCAATTTGTAAACAACTGATTCTTATTTCTTCAATTTTTGGAGGATTCAAAGTCCGTGACAAAGGTGCGAGCAGGTGTGGAGTCTGGGGAGGACCAGCTCTGGGCTCCCAGCATGGCACCTTTGGCTGCAGTGTCATGTGGCAGAAGAGACAGAAGCAAAAGAATGACATGCTGTGTCCTCACATATAGAAGAGAATCTTCAGAGCCAGGCAGCTCCTCCACCATCTTCATATACAACTTTAAACCTAACAGGAGGGCAGAGCCCCAGAACCTCACCACTTTCCAGAGGAACAGCCTCATGCCCCCACTCCCCGAGGTCATTTCCAACACCTGAATGGGGATTGGGGGCGCACACACTCCCATATAGCATGTGTGTTAACACAGTTCAAATGAAGCCTTGAGTGGGACCCTCACACTTGGAGCAAATGATAGATAGCATGGGTCCCTGGGTCCCTGACCTCAGAGAGGCATGGCGGAGAGCAGTCCCCACCCCACACAGAAATTTCAGCTTTGAAGGGAGAGGTGTGTGATGTGGGGTCAAGGTTCAAGGCTTGGTGGAAGGTAGGACCACAGTCAACCCTCACTCTGCAGAGACTAGCGCTTGGGGAAAGATTAAAACTCCTTTGACCCTCAGATCTTCACCTATAAAACAGGATTAGTAAGTTTCTCTATAATAAAGATCCTCTGAAGATTCAAGAAGCATCGCTAAAACTACTTGTCAGTGCCCATTACTACTATTGCAGAAGGGGAAACTGAGACCTGGAAAGGGTATGGGAGCTGCCAAGTGTCAGACATCAAGGCCTGGGCAGACTCTAGGGCCCAAGGCTATAGGGTGACAGGCAGAGTCCGGAGACCAGGACACCTACTCTACTCCAGCCAGCTGGGCAGGGTTCTCCCTTGGAGCCCCACTTGGCTGTTGGCTCTTGGCTTAGTTGGAAACTGGCCCTGAGCAGGACCCTGACTCTCAGCCCCTCTCAGGCTCTACCACCCTCCCTGCCTCTCCAAATTCCTATCTGGTATTGTCATACTTCAGCCATTCTCTCTGCTGTCCTTTGCCTGTGTTCGGGAGCTCCGACTTCCTGGACTTGCCTAGGCCTTGTACAAGGATGTTTGATTTGGAGGACTTGCAAGGACATGGTGCAATGGAAGGCTTCTAACAGTTTCTAGCTGTCCATCCCCGAGAGTAGAGCGACCCAGGGTAGAGTTCTGAGTTTCCTTCCGTTCCCCCTGCCCCTCCTAACCCACTGAAGGGTGGTTGTTCTCCCCTCTGCAGACAACCCTGGAGCACTCAGCAGAGGTGGCTCCTCTACACCTTCCACACGTCCTGTGTCCATCCTCTCCTCTCCAGACTCTGGGACTTTGTGTCACTTCCTCTACCTGCTGCCCTGGTTTCTGCAGGAGGAAGCTGAGGATCAGGGAGATGAAGATGAAGACAGGGGTGACCCGTCAACACCAGGCTTCTCTGTCTTACCCATCGCCAATCCTGAGTCCTTGTGCACCCACCTCCAGGCTGCACAGATACCACACTCCCTGGGTGACAACAGAGACCCTGCCCCAGAGAGACTACAGTGGAGTGGGAGGAAAGATGCTCTGATAGGTTATGGAGAGAGTGTTACACAGAGGTGTTTGTCCACATCTCCCATAATGTAAAATGCGCATCCTTTTTAATCTTTTGAAATTCCACTTTAAAAGGTTTATCCTAGGCATACTGTATGGGCCACAATTTATCAGGGTTTAAAATGTTAAAGGATATTTATGGTAGCACACTTTCTTGAAGAGGAAGTGCTGATACAGGAACTGAACAGCCCCCTTCCCAAGTAACCTGAGTAATAAAAGGCATCCCCTGGGGTGGCCTAGTGCATCATGGGCGTGGTGCTCAGGAGGTAACTCATGGAGGTGACCAGGGGTGAGTGCTAGACTTGGAGCTAGAGTGATGCTGTATCATGTACAATAAAAAGCAGGTTCTTTGGGTCCCTGGAACAAAGGTTTACTTCCTGCCTCTGATTCTTGGCAGACATGGGTTCCACGATGAAGGGACAGAGGGTGCTAGGGCAGACTTCAGAGCTGGAGAGAGGAAGAAGGAATGTGCTCACATCCAGGTCCTAGGGCCGCCGCTGTCTTCAACCTCATCTTCCTGATCCTCAGCTTCCTCCTCCAGAAACCAGGGCAGCAGGTGAGGAAATGACACAAAGTCCCAGAGTCTGGAGAGAAAAGGAGTAGCTCCTTTATTATATTATTATTTAATAATATAGGCACTCTATTAATAATTCTAATTCTGAGATGTTATCCTGAAGGGATGACAAACTCTGGGAGAGCCAAGTGAGTTGGCCTTGTGTACTTAATGGGTTAAGCTCCTAATGAGCCTGCACTGGAGTGTAGCACTCTTTCTAGACGATTCTGTGACCTTTCTGCACATAGCCTGTTACACTGGATTTCTTTTCATCTCTTCTAAGTCTCCTCTTCTCTGACATACCTGAATGGAATATCACCACTTCTAGGCAGCCCACAACCCTGCTTTGAGGTCATGACCTTGTGGGTAAGGAGCCAGAGCTAGTCTCCAGGGTGACGTCCGGGGGAAAGACATTTCCAGACTTGGCAGCCATGGGAGCTGCAGTCAGTGAACACGTGATGGGAACCACACGGGCCTGGACCCACTGTCCCTGCTCTTTCCTCATGACCTGCATGGACTAAGGCCTTGGGGAGGGGAGTGTGATCATTTGGGATCATTCTCTGGCAGCTGGCACTGGCCCATCCCCATTCCCTGCCCTTCTTGAAAACAATGTCAGATAGGAAAGACTTGAGCAAAGGCCATCACTGGAGCCTGGGTCGGGGTGCAGTAACAGATCCGGATCATGGATAAGTCTGAGGTCAGGGTCAGGGTTCAGTTTGTGATCAACATTGAAGCTCTACATATAACTGGTTTTAAACTCAGTCTGTCACTTGGATCCAGGCTTAGTCTAGGGACAGAATCAGAACTCAGGCTGGGTGAGTGATCAAGGCTCAGAGATCAGAGTGTGACCAGAATAAGACTCAGCTGGGGCTAAGACCTAGGTTTAGTCTTTGACCGAGATGAGGGCTCAGTTCACGGTTGGAAAAAAATAAGCGAAGCCCAGCCTTGCTCTTGCCTCCCACAGGCCCCTTGCGCTGGGCACAGAGCCAGCCTCTCACCACTAGAGGCGTCACAGTGGTCCTCCTCGTCAGTCCTCTTCAGATGGGGACTTGCAGGTCAACTGCCTGTTGAAGTTCAGCGAAAAGAACAGAAGCAAGAGCAGACTTCAGTCTCTACCACTGGAAAATTGAGGAGACATCACATCCAGTAACCACCACCCTCCAGCGTTCTCAGTGGAACCACGTCTGGGTTCTCAGACATGTTGCACCACCTCTCTAAGCCTCACTTTGTTCACCTGTAAAACGAGTGTGCAGGCAGTGCCCACTCCGTAAGTGTGTTGGGGGGATCCTGTGAGACAGTGTATTCAGGGCAAGAGTGATGACCCAAGGGTCTGGAGTCATGGCTGTTTCACAGTAGAACCACATGACTTTCACAGCGAAGGCCATGACACCTTTACTGCCCCATTTCTATTGCACCAGTATCCCCAATCTGGTGACCAGAAGGCCACTAAGAGTCTCCAAATGCAGAAAGAGAAGCCATACTCACACCTGGTTCAGGAAGGTGGGTTTTTCTTTTCCTCCAGGTCCCTTGAACAGACTTTCTGGGGTAAGCCAAGGTAAACATTGTCTCTAGAAAGCACCTCATTTCCTCAGTCTGTGACTTACAGGTGATGTCCTCAGGAGGGTTCACACGCAGGCCATCCGGTAAGGGTTGGATCCATGGGCACATTAGGAGCCTGGAGAAGGAGGGAGAAGAGGGCAGGGGGCTAAGGACAGGTGGTTCTCACCTGGGGACCCACAGAGAGGCTCACTTCTAAGGGTCTGAGAACTTTACACCTTAGGATTCAACCACACTGGAATCCTCTCAATCTGAAATCTTAGCCTGGAGGAGCCTATTCACCTAAAGCTTGGAACATCAGAATCTACAACCTCAAGAGTATACAGTGTTGAGATCCCAGGGTCTTGGAAACCTTGACTTTGGGAGTCCTGACATTTTAAAGGGTCCAGAGTTGCTCAAAGGACTATCCAGCAGCTCTCTCAGGTCCCCAGAGCACACAGGTCCTTACAGGTTCCCGGTCATCAGGTTTGTAATGGGCTAGGGACTCTGCATTTCTACAAAGCACCCAGAGGAGGATGGAGCTTGCCTGAGGATGGTACTGAAGATAGAGCTTTTTTCTCCCTGTCACAGATCCACCTGGAAGATCCTTGATTTGTAAACCCAGATTCCCTAGATCTTATGAGGATCAGCTGGTTTAGAAATCTGCGGAACATTGATCCCAGTACCTGTGCATGTGCTGTGTGAGTTTAGTTGATGCACCAGTGGAGCAATTGTTTTATAGGTCTGCATTTCTTTCTCTTGTTAATTGTATGAGCTGATAAATGATATTATTTTTCTATATATGATATGGATAGAGTGTCTTTTCATAAATAAATGCATTACAAATACAAAGTGCGTTGGATGATTATGTACACTTATTTAGGCAAAATTATGTTGATTAAAAGAAAAAAGAAGCTTAAGAGGCACAATGGCAGTGCAAGGTCATGGCAAAGGACTCTGGAGTGGGACCTACCGATGTTCACAAATGTCAACCACTCCCTGCCCTCCAGGCTGAGTTATGGAGGAAGAGGTGGCTCTCCTTGACCTCCCAAAGAGAAGTTTGAACCTCTGAAGGAGAAGTCTCCAGAAAATAAGGGCTGGCCTACAGATGCCACATCAGCCACCCACTAGGGCTGGCTCTGGGCCCCAAAGAGTGAGGGATTCACTTCCTCCTGTCGCAGGGTGAACACAGTGTTCTTCAGGACCCCAACCATGCCTTCCACTTCCCTGCTGATCAGATGATTAGTTTTGGGAGAGACAGGAAGGTAATGAAGACCCAGCAAAGAGTCAGGGCCACCAACGGCAGTGCTTGGATGACAGATGACCCAAACCTGAGTGATATTTCTCATTTCACACAGAGCCACATCTGGATGGATCATTATTTAGCATCCCACACCTGTCCACTGGCTTACACTGTGCCCAGGAAAATCCCATCCCAATACAGCACTCATTCATTGAATCATCAAGCCATATTTCTAGAGCACCGACCATATGCCAGGTCCCCACCTGGGCCCCAGAGATAGCAGGATGAGCAAAAACCAAGTAACCTTAAGCCTGGACCCTCACCATGAACAAATCTTGCCAAGCCTGCTCCTCCCTCCTCCACTCTGTGTCACCTCCTGGGGCAGCACCTTAATGGCTTCTCTCAGGGAGGATTTGGCTTTGTAGTGCCCTATTATTCCCCAAGGGAATCTTAAATTCTCACCAATGTCACAGAGCTAGTCTGCAGAGGGAGGATTGGGCTCTAGTCCTACCTTCCACCAAGCCGCCACCCTGATACCACATCACACATCCCTATCTTCAGAAGAGTTTCAGCCTCCCTGTGAGGAGGGCACCTCTCTCCATCTCAGAGGTCAGCCACCAGGGACAGATAGAGGGCGTTCACCCATTCCTCCAAATGTCGAGACTCCATTTGAGGCTTCATTTCATTTTTATTAACACTTGTGCTCTGGTGGCTATGTGTGTCTCCCCAACCCAATTCAGATACTAGAATGATCCCGGGGTCGTGGAAGAGGCTGTTCCTCTGGGAGGGGTGAAGTCCTGGGGCTCCGCCCTTCTGAGGAGTGTAAGGCCTGTATGAAAAGAGGCGCGGGGAGCTGCTAGGCTCTGCGGTTTCTCTTCTGCTGTGTAAGGATGCAGCATCTGTTCCTTTCTTACTTCTGTCCCTCCTGCCATATGCCACTGCAGCCACGAAGTGTCACCTTGGAAGCGAGAGCCAGCCCTCCCCAGACTCCACATCCGCTTGCACCTTGATTTTGGGCTTCAAAACCTCTAGAAGTGTGAAAAATAATGTTTTTGTTTACAAATTGTCCTGTGTATGGTATTTTGCTACAGGAGCAGGAAGACTGAGATGATAGGTATTTGGGTAAGTCAAACAGTTCATGTTTAGAAAGGCACATTTTCCCAGTACAAAAACACTGCAGAAAATATGTCTCTCCACATTCGTTTTATGTGACTCAAGGTGGCCAAGGTGGAGACAAGGTCAGCTAACTCTTTCTCTGCAGCAGGTCCCCTTGAATGAACACCTGAGTGGTGCATGTTCCTATCGGATACATTGTCACTTCAGTGTCCTGGTCAGAGCTGGGACAGCCCCACAGGAGCCCAGCCTGGGACTTGAGCATGCCGATCTCTAACCTGTCATCCCCACAAGTGGCCCACGTTCCTGTTGCCTACCCCTTGAAATGCCCTGTGCCTCCTGCCTCCGTTTTCACTGCCTCTGACAAGAAACACCCTGAATGAATGACCCTGTCCTCAAGCCTTCACACAAATCTGACCCTCACCAGGGAGCTGTCAGAGGTGTGCCCAGTAGAAAGGAGCCTCTCTGACCCATGGCTTGGATTTTGTCCCCATCCACCCATTGCCAGGGGATGTTACCTTTCTTGTAAATTTGCCAATCAGCCCTCAGGGCTCGTCCCAGTGTGACTATCACCCATGACCTGCTTGTCCTTCTTTACACATCTCATCTCCTACATCCTCTCCCCTCCCTCTGCTCTAACACCCACTTCTCAGGGAAAGCATGGTGCTCAGAAAGGCTGAGGAATGAGCCTCAGACTCCCCAGAGAACCAAGAGTCACACCCAGGACCAGACCCAAGGCTTGGCTCTTAGCCAGGGGAATTTTGGATCCTACCTTGCCTCCAGATGGAGACTCTGCTGTCACTTAAGTTCATCTCCTGCCTTCTCAAGTTTAGCTGACCACATGGCCTCCTGGCCAGAGATGACAACTCCCAGCATCCCTTGCAGCTATAGTGATCATAGGACTAAGGTCTGTCCAACAGCATAGAAGCAACTTTGAGGGGCAAATTCCATCTTGTACTTTAAAACTCAGTAGGTTCCCATCCACTGCCTCTTGGACTCCCTCTTCTCTGCAGCTAGACACAGCAACCACAGAGGTGACCACCCTGGACCCCAGGGGTGGGGGGCAGCTGTGCCTTAAGGAGGGCACAGCTACCTCAGCGGCCTTGACCTCCCTCTTCTGTGCTTTTAGGGACAAAGAGAGGAGCTTCCTTATTTAAAGCACTGTGCTTCTGTTAAGACTGCCTAGTGTCTATTGTTCCTGCCTTATTTTACCAATAACATGCTGTGTGGCATGAGGCTGCGCACTTCCCTTCTCTCAGCTCTGTTTTCAAGTGTGCATAGTGATCCCTTAAGGCTATCCTAATAGAACAGAACAGACTTTCACATTCCTTCCGGAGTTTAAGGGGTATTTATTCAGTTCCTATGGCATGCAAGTCCTCCACCTGAGGTTACCTTCTTCCCCTGGAGGACATGTGGCAACTAAAAATATCTGGAGATATCTTTAGTTTATACCCATTGCAAAGATCCTACTGATATCTGGTCCAGGAAGGTCAGGGATGCTGCTCGCCATCCCATAAGGACAGACAATCATGCACAGTGAAGAATCATCTAGTCCAAAACATCACTATCATTTTGACACACTGCACTGGACCCTTGTGGACTTGTCCTCACTGGATTCTGGTCTTCACTCTACTGAGATCTGGAGGGGTGAAGAGATTTCCAGAAGCTATTCGGCTAGAGACAGGCCACCCCAGATAATCTGATATTGTTCCCTATATAAGGGGTCCTTCCCCTCCTAACCAGGGAGAGGAATCATATGGGACTCTTTCTGGCTGTACTTGTGACAATCCTATCCCCCACAGAAAAGGTGAGAAAGTGCTCCCGATTTAGGGTTCCTTTTGGGAAAAAGCCAACTTAGGTCAGTGCCAACCCGGAGTCCTTTCTGTCTTAGACCCTGGGATGCCCTTCTGTGTCCTTCAGCAAGTGGCTGAAAACTCCTCAGACTGCAAGACCCAGCTCAGCTCTCACAGAACCTTAATGTCCCGAACCACGTGATGCTCCCCCACTTAAAGACTACTATAATGTGTCTCCCCAGTATTCCTCCACTGGATATTTAATCCCAACATTCAGATGGTAATAGTATTTGGAGGTGGGAAGTGAAATCAGAATTCAGTCAAATCTTGAGGAAAGTTCCAAGTTATGATATGACTGGATAATAAGGAAAAGAGAGCCCGAAGCACTCACTGCTGTCACACCATATGACTCCTGCACATCAAGATGCCACAGGAAGGCCCTTTCCAGATATCCAGTGAAGGCACCTGCCATGGACTTGGCCTTCCTACCATTGAAATGGGTGAGCTAGACCTGCCTCCATTCTGTGTATATCACTGAGCTCACAGTGTGTTAGAACAACAAAAACACACTGGGCACAGCACCGCTAGTCTCCTTGTCCTTAGTGCCCAATGCAGGGAGCCATTCACCAGTGTCATCTCTCAGGAAGTGGGTTTCCCTGCTCCAACACTCCTCTCTGTCCCACCTGGCTGGGAGCTCCTAGAGGTCAGGGCTTCACTCCTCTCAGTAGTCCCAGTGGCCAGGGAAGAAACTGGTGATGGGAAAGATGGAGCCACTACTGGATGGCTGGATGAATGGAGCAGTGGATGGATGAACAGATGGATGAACAGATGGATGAACAGATGGATGGATGGTTGGATGGATGGATGGATGGATAGATGGATGGATGGATGAGCACTAGCAAGAGGTCATCTCTGGGTCAGCTGAATGGGAAGAGAAGCAAGAAAGTTCTATGAAGCCAGCACTGGGAATATGGAAGTCCTGTTAACTAA